CAGCAGGCCTTCAGCTGCTGCTGACAGCAGGCCTTCAGCTGCTGCTGCTGCTGACAGCAGGCCTTCAGCCTCTACAGCTGCTGCCTCAGGTTCAGACCTGAACAGACGTTTGATAATCCTCCAGAGCTGAACCACTCCAGCACAGCTGTTGAAGTTCAGACAAGCTGAACAGAAGCTTAAACAAGCAAAACACTAGCTAAAAACTAAAATCAACTCAATGTTGCTGGAAGCTTCAATAAACAAAATGTCACTAAAAGCTAAATTCAGCAAAACTGTCACTAAAAGCGACAGTTAGCAGAGCTGTTGCTAAAAACTAAAGTTGGCAACACTGCGGCTAAATTTAATAAAACTGTCACTAAAAGCTAAGTTCAGCAAAACAGTCACAATAAGCTAATTTCCTTAAAACTAACTAAAAGCTAAATTCAACAAAACTGTCGCTAAAAGTTACAGTTAGCAAAGCTGTTGTTAAAAACTAAATTCAGCAAAACTGTTGCTAAAAGCTACAGTTAGCAGGGTTATTGCTAATAACTAAAATTGGTAACACTGCTACTAAAATATAAATTCAGCAAAATATTACTAAAAGCTAAATTCAACAAAACTGTTTCTAAAAGCTAAATTCAGCAAAACTGTCGCTAAAAGTTAGTTAGCAGGGTTATTGCTAATAACTAAAACTGGTAACACTGCTACTAAAATATAAATTCAGCAAAACTGTCGCTCAAAGTTACAGTTAGCAGAGCTGTTGTTAAAAACTAAATTTTGCAAAACTACAGCTAAAAGCTAAATCCAGCAAAACTGTTGCTAAAAGCTACAGTTAGCAGAGTTGTTGCTAATAACTAAACTTGGTAACACTGCTGCTCAAATATAAATTCAGCAAAATATTACTAAAAGCTAAATTCACCAAACTGTAGCTAAAAGCTAAAGTCAGCAAAACTGTTGCTAAAAGTTAGTTAGCAGAGCTGTTGTTCAAAACTAAAATCTGCAAAAATGTTCCTAAAAGCTAAATTCAGCAAAACTGTTGATAAAAGCTACAGTTAGAAAACTAAAATCGGCTAAACTGCTGCTAAAACAAGCAAAAATGTTACTAGAAACTAAATTGAAAAAAACTTGCTAAAAGCTAAAATTAGCAAAACTGTTTAAAGTTAAATTCAGCAAAGCTGTTGCTGAAAGGTAAAATAAGCAATACCAGAGCTAAAAGCAAAAATGACCAACATTGTAGCTAAAAGTTCAATTCAGCAATACTGTTGCTAAACTCTAAAGATTACTTAAACTGTGCCGTAACGCACAATGTAGTAAAATTGTAGCTAAATGTTTACATTAGAGAAACTGTAGCTAAAAGCTGAAAATACAACTGTAGTTATAAACTAAAACTGATAAGACAGAAGCTAAAAACAAAAAGGAGCATAAAGACGATAATGGGGCAGGTATGCTATGAGATTTCAAAAAAACATTCTTGAAGGAATGAAAATGGCTAAATTGTAGCTAAAAGCTAAAAAGTAGCTTAAAGAAATAGAAAAGGTCAGAACAAATTATTTGAAGAAACTGAAGTGATCAAAATGTGTTTCTATGACCATTTCAGAAAACAAAGTTAAATAATTCAAAAAGTTACACAAACTAAAAGTCATCCTGATGAAGTGGAATGTTTTGATGACATGAATGACTGAAGCGGCACAAAATCAGCCGAAGTTTGACAATAAAAATGTTCAGAAGGAACTTTAAACAGGAAAACAACAGAGCGGACGCTGACTCGGCGTTATTGGTCACACTGGTTGTTTTTCAGCAGGAAAAGTTCGGCTGTGAGCTGATCGACCCCTCCTCAGTGTGGCAGATTAAACACAATCCTGATCAGCTGATGTAAATAATCCCAGATAAAAACTCGGCCCCTCCAGGTCTGTTATGTGCCTGAGATCAGACAAGTCGACAACTACGTGCTGTTTATTGTGGAGTTTATCTTTTACAGTTTGGCCTCAACTCTTCTAAAGAAATGTTTCTGTTTTTACAAGCAGGAGCTAAAGATCTTTGGTGTTTTTGCTGTAAACAAAAGGACAAACGCTAAAGATTAAGATTAAAGATTAAATCTCAGCTGATTGAATCAATCAAGCTGGTTAATCCTGTTAACTGAGCCGATAATTCGATCAGTCTCGCCTCCTCTCAGCTGGGTTCTGTCCCGAGTTAAAAACACGAGAGATCTGAAACAAAACGCGTTCGATTAGATTATCGCCTCTAATCTGTGAAATTAGCTGAAGTTACAGATGATCAGAGGTTTAGTGCTGGTTTGGAAACAACTCGCCCTTTAAGTATCGCTGAAGGGACAAAACCGTTTAAATCTATGGCATCAAAGGTGGTGTCTGTTAGCAAAATATCTCCTGAACCACTAGAGATTTAAATGAAACTGTGAACGTCTTCAACTCGGGAACTTTTGGAGTCAGCTCAGTTCAAGATGGCCGCCACAGAGAAGCAGCCGTAGAGGACACAAAAAGGACTACAACTCTGGTGTTTTTACAAATAACCAGCTAAACTTTGGTGTGGTAGTAGCTGAGGGTCATCCCTAAACACACTCTGAGCACAAACGGAAAGGAGGAGCTCTTTGTTCAACCCTCCTGCTGCCCTCGGGTCAAAATGACCCGTCAGTTTATGACGAAGCCTTTGTGTCGTTTTGACCCAAGGGCAGCAGGAGGGTCCGAACTTTAAGGAACGCTAGTTTTATTAATTAAAAAATAAAAAGATAAATACATTTTGGAAACAAGAAATCTGTTTCTAGTTCCTCTTAGATTTGTGTTTTTATAAAACGGACGCCTCGGGCAGATTCTGGACGTATTTGCTGCAGAGTCGTGAACTTCAAAGACGTTTTCTTTGTTTGTGAGACAGGATTTTATTTATAAACCCGCCTGAAAGCAAACGGGTCGGTTCTGGTTTTAGACGCGAGTCCGGTGCGGATTTCCCGAACTCGTTGAAGGGTCCTTGTGAAGTTCCTCGTGCACACGCAGAATGTGAGCAACGCAGCAAAGATGGCTCCCTGGTCCACCTCGTTGTTCTGGACGTGTGTCAGAGACCCGGTTTGACCCGGTACCATCGTGACCAAAACGTCCCGGCTCTGAACAACAAGCTGCAAATGAAAAAGCTGAGTTCCCGACGGGTCGGTTCTGAACCTCTGTGGGTTCTGCAGACCCGCCGGAGCTTCAGCCTCCCATCATCCTGTTGAGAAACGGACCTGTGGCGGCCATCTTGGATTGGGTTGACTTCAAAGTTCATCCGTCGTAGTTCACGTCCAGTGATTTAATTTTTTTACAGGTGTCCTGAACATTTGTCGAATGGGTGCAGATGTTTGGTCTCAAACACACGGACGTGATTCAAAACATGATCGCCCGCCGCCCCGAACCTCACCCAGAACAGCTGCTCGGTTTCATCTGAACTAGAACCCAGTTAGATGAAGAGCATGGAGGTTCCTCATCATCATCCTCCTCCTTTTTAATATTTATTTAGTTATTTTCCACGTTTGGAACAACAGCAGCTGAAGAAGTTTCTCTGATGGAACTGAAAGTTTTGGGTCACAGATGAAGGTCTGACTCTCACGGAGCTGTGACTCTTGGAGACATAAGAAACACGAGAAGATCCATAAATCTTGACTTTTAATCTCGCTGATCGACACGTACGCACGAACTCCTGGAGAAATCTGGGTCCAAAGAACCAAACCCTGTTCTGGAAGCCTTCAGGGAGCGCTCGTCCTTTGTGGCTTCAACTTCTGGATTCTAGTCCTGGTTCTAGTTCGGTCCATGTCGGCCCCAGGCTCTTTTACAAAACGTTTCCATGAAAAAACCTCAAAGACCGGTCGGAGTTGTCCCAGGCGGGGTTGTCCCAGGCGGAGTTGTCCCAGGCGGGGTTGTCCCAGGCGGGGT